ATACAGGCGGTTTTGTTTTGATTCTGTGTTCTTTAAGAAGAGAGGATTTCGTTTTCTTCTTGTGGAGTCCTGGGTCAAAAGCCCAACAGTCACTGTTGGGAACTCGTGGCATTTCCAGTGGTTTTGATACAGAAATAGCACAAGTCATTCTTGACGCAACTGCCAGGGCCATGCTCTCATGAGTGAATGGGGACCATGGCCTCGGTCTCTGCAACTGGCACTTGAGCTAGGCTACAGCCACGCCTCTTGGCCTCCTGATGATGGTTGTGGGGGTGGCAGGCTATGTTCTCAAGAGCCCTTGGCCTAGTCTCCTTGCTTGTTGTGTGGATTCCAGGCCTCATTCTGTGTCTGCCAAAGTGACCTTACTTGAGAGGAAGCAACAACAGTAGCTAGCTATGGGATGTGAGTTGCAGGTAACAAAGGACCTTTAATCTTCTGCTTCCTTTCAATTTCTGTAGCCAAGAGTGAAGTTCTAATTGGCACTTTGGGACGCAGGTCAAGGCAGTGTTTCTGTCCCTTCCCAACACTTGGAGATGCTTCTTGCAGCTCACTGGCAGACTTCACTGAAGACAGTGTTGGCTCCCAGCACCACTCCCTCTGCTCTTCATGTAGAACAGTTGAGCCCAGGCCCACTGTGGACTTGAGGAGTGGGCTCAGTGGCCTCTCACATGGGTCTTTCTTGCTTCATGTTGCTTGAACTGTGGAAGTGATACCCCTTTCTCTTCAACCCCCCAGTGTAGTTACCCCCCAGAGATCTGTAGCCTGCACAGAGCCCAGGACAGGAGGACTTGGAACTAGTCCTGCCCTTGCTTCCTCTTCAGCTGTTGGGCTGCTGGAAGTTAGGGAACAGGGAATGGCCATCATGCATTTCATGTATAAAGGAATGCAAAAGAAGATCTGGGCAAAAATTGACCTTTGGGATGGATGGTACCTGTACAGGAAGTTCAGATACATTTGGGGCAGTAAGCATGGGTGACTCTTGAGTAAAGAGAGGGTCCAGCAGTCTTAACTTGTTCATCCTGTGTGGTGGATATGCTAACATTTCATCCATCTTTCAGTCTGGCTTACAAATTTAGGGCACCTTAAATACCCAAGGTTACAGTTTCAAACACAGCTTTAAATTTAGTGCCTTAAGGACTAAAACATCAGTAAACTGAGCATATTGAGTGAAGAAGCAACAAAATTCAAAACAAGCAATACGATCTGCTCACTTTGTCCTCAGCTTTAGTTTGTTACGACAAAGCTGTATTCCGTGCATGGCAAGCACCTTTGGAGTGTGTCCTCCCCCATTCTTCAGAGTATACCCTGCCCACATTCAGTCACACACACTGACTGTTGTTCAGAGAACCCAGTGACCCTTTTACATTCCTTGGTGGGGTGCTGACCAGCCTTGACCCGCAGGTCAGGAGCTACACTGGTTATGTTGCCATGGAAAGAATATCAGTGCTGTATAGTGCTGTATAGTTGGCCTCTGGCTGAAGAAAGAGCTTCAGTTGTTACCGCACTCACATTAGTATCCTTTGGACCAAGTGTGAATGTGCTTTCCTTGTAACAGGCTCTAAGGCTAGCCGCAGTGCCAAAGTACTACTATGGAAATCGCCCCAGCTGGTTATCATTCTGCCCTGTGACTGATAAGGAGCAGTTGAGCAGCCTGGTCTTGCCACTGCCTGGAGCTGTTCATCCCATCCCCAGCTGCCCTCTGCACACCCTGCCCTGCTAGACCCTAAGCATTCAGTTCTGTACCAATTGTGCCCCACAGAGGCCAGAGGAAGGTGTTAGAGCCCTTGGAGCTGGAGTTATTATAGGCAGTTGTGAGCCACTTAGCATGAGTGCTGGAAACTGAAATCTGGCCCTTTAGAAGGTCAAGTGCGTTTAAGCTCTAAGTCATCTCTCTAGTCCCACCATCCTTGTTAGTAGAAATGATTGGCCTGTCATGTTCTTGAAGTTAACCAAGGCAATCCTTTTAAAGGTTTTGTATTTGTTTTTCTAAAGAAATGTTAGGCATTCCTAATGGTACCTCTCTATGAAAATTAGAAATGGGCAGATAGCATGCTCTTGTGCCCAACATCTTTGATACAGTCTGTTAATATATAAATCTTAGGTCATGTTAGCAAAATTATAGCAGGAGTCACACCTGCCCTCTTTCCCAGAGCCAAGTGAGGTAACACACAGGAAAAGATAGTTTTCAAACTGTGAGACAATGTCATAGTTTCATTAATTTTTCATGGGTTTTTATTTAAGCTAAACTAACACTGCTTAACTAGACAAGAATATATGATTGATTGAGTGAGTGATTGATTGATTGATTGATTGATTATAGACTAGTTTTTACCCCTAGTTGACTCACATTCTAAAATAAAGTGGCCATAAACTAACACTATCAAGGACCATATGTGTCTATAACTAAGAAAGATGATGTGACTTATGCCAGGCAGTCAGGGGCAGCTTGAGGCAGTCTCATTTAACCATAAAATTGACAGGTTAAAGGATCATGTCTGTGAGTTCAAAATAAGGGATAGGTAAAACCCCAGCAAGAAGTACCTGCTGTTACCTGCTGTTCAGTCAGACAGCACAGCCGGCCGCTGATGAAGAAGCTCACCCTGAGACTCTTTCACGAAGGCATCCTCTTTAATTCCTTACCCTCTAGAGTATATTATCCTTAAAAGGGAAACTGGGTAAACATAGAAATAATATTGTTTTATAACACCTGCATTGTTTGTATTTTTCCATCTTGTTTTATTTTGTAATAAAAGAGATAGAAAAAAAAAAGACAAAACGGAAAGACGAGTAAGCCAGTCCTTGTTCCTGTGTGAGAGAGAGCCCTGTCCATGGAGCAAGCATACATCAACTAAAAAGCTTCTAGTGTACCTAGCTCGAGCCAAGATACAGAAAGTGCAGACGTCCCTGTAAGTAGCCAAAGCCTTGCCTCACTGATGATGAGGAGCCGAAGTCTTGGCTGAGCTTCATGGGCCACAGCAGGGTTGTGTTGGACATGAGGATCTCCAGTTGCTTTATGGTTGCTGGGTGTTCTCGTAGCTAAGCAGGCTGCTGGCCCAAGGCCTGGGTATTTCTTGGGTTCTGTCTGCTCCTACCCCTCTGTCAGTCTGTCTTGGAGGATTTAGTGGTGACCACAGGGCCAAATCACAAGCCAGGTTGGTGCAGGGGCCTGGGATGGGAAGATGGCCACTTCATTGGGGAACCCAAGGGAGTCTTCATTATGGCTATACCTCCTCCTCCTCCTTGGTCTCCTGGACTCTCCTAGGGGAGCTGTATCTTGAGGCAGAACACCAGGGTTCTGGTGACTGTTAGATCTCTTTCCATCTTTACTCTAGAAGGACAAGGAAGAATCCTGGGACCAGGGATCCTCTGAGGCCAGCTTTGGGAGTTGCTGTATAGGAGTGGCTACAGGAATGCCAGGGACCAAAAGAAACAGGCACTTTCTTACTCAATTCTGTGTACTCAAGATTGTCAAACATGGCTTACCCAGGAAGAGGGCTTCAGGCAGGTCTTGGTCCAAGACCCCCCTGAATTTGTGAGTAGAAAACCCTAAGAATTTAGCAAGAAGAAAGGGTATAGGATAGCCACGATTAGAAAGAATTGCAGGCAAGGCCAAGTGCACAAGGGCCAGGAGCTGGATGTCAGGCACCTGCTACCAGTGCTGCACTTGAACTCTAAACTGAGTCCCTTCCAGAAGGCAGTACTCTTGCCTCCTTTCCTTGGACTCAGTGCTTGTGTGTGGGCAGAGGAAGCACTACATACAGGGCAGCTGGGAGGTAGGGTCTACAGGGCTTTTTTTTGCCTTAACCGAGCGAACATCTGCAGAGCTGCCTGTTAACAGGTACTGTAGTAGCACTTCACTGTGCTTAGAACGTTGTAGTTCCAAGGAGCCTGTGCATAACACACTGTTCATAACAGCCTCTGACAGGAGAGGGGCTGCTCAACAAGTTGGTAATTTATTCTTTTATCATTAATTATGTTTTAAAAATTTTTGTAAAAAAAATTGGTTTGCATAGGTGCATTTTGGGGAGTAGGTAGGTCATGCATGCTGTGGCACACTTGTAAAAGTTAGAGGATAGCGGTCAAGAGTTGGTTCCCTACTTCCATTGTGTGGATGCTGGGGATTGAACTCAAGTTATCAGGTGTGATGGCAGGTTCCTTTACTCACACACTTAGCCATCTCTCTGACCCTGTGTTAGTAACTTAAAGCTTACCTTTCCTCCACATTGTTTTTCTTGCTTTAATTTGGAATTAATTTTGTAAGTAAACACTGATACTGACTCAGCTTCTGCTTTAAATCAGAATCACGGTGGCCTCTCCTTGGCAGAACATGGGCTCAGTGTGAGTGCAGAAGCCATCCTGATGAACGCTCATGCTGCCCGCCAGGAGCACACTTTATTGGCTGCAGTCGGTTGGGTAAACATGTTTTTCAAGAGGGTTCTCATTTTACCATGGCAACAGGCTCTCCGCTTGAGTGTCTATCTGGACCACTTCTATGGCACACACTGTTCTTGAGTCTCATACATAGCTCTGCAGTGGCTTCATTAGGAGAAGGGGCAGAAGCAAAGTACAGGCGGTTTGCCCATCCAAGTACTGGCACTTGGCTCCTTGCATGGCTAAGCAGAGCATTTTACTCTAGTTTCCCTTTATTGACTTTTCAATATGACGTCAGATGAGCCTTTGGATCTGCAATGGGGTCCTTTGAGAGTGGGGCCTACCCCTTTGGCAAAGGGTGGAGAGTAATAACTCGGTGCAAGTATGTCTCCTAGCTAGATCTGCCACTGCCCTGAGATCTTTGTGCTTGAGGACAGAGCCCAGAATCCTTGAGCCTTGTACTTTGAGCCTGTCAGACCATTGGCCAAAGAATACCAGGTGCTCTTTGGGCCACCAACATCCCTTGATAGTTGACATCTAGGCTTTACAGGGAAGAAGGGACCCAGACCCCAAGGCTCGCCTTGCTGCCTCAGTGACCCATTCTTTTCTTTGTTGTGCTCTCTCCATAGTGGACGTGGCTACAGCACTTCCTCTTCAAGTGGCCCCTGCAGCAGTACCCATGGACCTGCGCCTGGACCACCAGTTTTCGCTGCCCTTGGAACCCGCACTGCGGGAGCAACAGCTACAGCAGGAGCTTCTAGCACTGAAACAGAAGCAGCAGATCCAGAGGCAGATTCTCATTGCTGAGTTCCAGCGGCAGCATGAGCAGCTGTCCCGGCAGCATGAGGCCCAGCTGCATGAGCATATCAAGGTGAGAAGCATCCTTGGGCTCTGTGTCATACCTGTCCTTCTGCCCAGGGTATGTTTACTGGAGTGCTGAGACATGTGGACCAGCTATCCTCTGGGTGACCCCTGCTTCTTCTTCCCCATGATTGGTGTGATTTCATCTAGTGCTGAGGTGTAGATAGGTGACACCTGCTCCTCTGTCCCCAGGATTGGCATCATCCATGGAATGCTAAGACTCGAGAACTAGATATATCCTCTGTGTGGTATGTGATTCCTTCTGTCCCCAAGACCCAGTCTTATTCACAGAGTATCAAGGCCCAGAATCCAGGTGACCCTCACCATAAGGTTGCTGCAAATGTCCTAGGCCTTACGGCTTGTGCAGAGGACACACGGTGTAGAAGTTGTCTTCTAAAAATACATGCCCAGGTAGAAAAATGGCCAGGGGGAAAACAGGCCAAAAAGTGATGGACACCTTAGAGGACTCAGGGTTCATTGTGGTTTTTCTCAGATTTTCCCACTGACTTTTCATAACTGACTCCCCCACTGCCTGCAAAAGAAACTGTTAACAAAGACCTTTTTAATGCCTACTCTATACAGTTGCTTAATCTGATCCCAGAATTTAAAAGTAAATAAGTTGGAAAGAAACATACATGTAGATGTTATAGGGTAAGGCTGTAAGGCCAGGAATGTCTCTACTGAAAACCATGCTGAGCCACACTGTCCAGTGTATAGGGAGCTGCGGGCTGCATTCCTGCCACCTAGCTCCCGGCTGCCTGGCTAGCTTATGCCCCAAAATAACAACACACAAATTGTATTCATTTAAACACTGCCTGGCCCATTTGCTCTAGCTTCTTACTGACTGATTCTTACATCTTGATTTCCCATTTCTATTTATGTGTGTAGCACCCCAAGGTGCGCTTACTGGGAAGATTCTAGCCTACGTCCATCCTGGGTCGGAGCTTCATCGCGTCTGCCCCAGAGAGGAGATCTATCGAGTCTGAGCTCACTTTCTCTTCTTCCCAGCATTCTGTTTACTCCACCCACCTAAAGGCAGGCCTATCAAATGGGCCAAGGCAGTTTCTTTATTAGCCAATGACCTTCCTCCATCAGTCCAGTAGAAACTACATTTTGCAATAGTCACATTAAAGCAAAAGCCTCCCATACCAGTTGTACAAGTTGCCCACAGCTGTGTATCAAAATCACCCAACACATCATGGTTTCTGCCACAGTGTTTTTTTGCTGGTGAGGAACTCAAGAGCAGCCACTGGGTCCTGCCCTGAGTCTCATGTGATGCACTGTGTTGGTCAGGGTAGTGTCATCTGAGGCCTAGCTGGGCTTGCAATGGAGGATATATGGTGGTTACTCACTTCTAGCAGTGCTTTACCAGAACCACCTTGCTTACCCAGTAGGACCAAGATGGAGCCCCTGCATCTAAGACCCCTGAGCCTGGATTGTATTAACCACCTCTGCAGTGCTGCCATCACCAGAGCAGTCTTCATAAACCATGGGAGGGTCCTCTGTAGCCATGATGTGGATTGCTGAGGAGGCTGCACAGGACTATTTTCTGATTCAGATAACAAATTACAGAGCCCTGCTTACCATGGTGCACAGGCCCAGTAACAACTCTAGGTGCCTTTCAGGAGTGTGTGTGCTGAGAACATTGTCCTGGTTGGGCAAAGGATCTAGGAAACCTCACCCAGAGCTCTGAGAGCTGTCTGCAAGGAGGCCAGGGTCTTTGGTATTTTGATGTTTGCTATGTTAATTGTCCTGGGGCTATTACTGCTGCTGCTACTGCTACTGCTCTGTTCTCTTGGGTTTGGGGTGGGCTGGTTAAGATCTCCCACCAGCACAGGCTCTTCATACCCCCAATCCTTTCCCGCCTCCTAGGAGAGGCCAACATCAGGTCTAGGAAAGAAAGCCTTGCTGACAGTTGCTCAGTGCTCTGCTGTGGATGACCAGGCCCACTTCCCATGGGGCCCTGTTTTCCAGGACTAGAAAACAAGAGGTTTTGAGGTTGGATGTTTGAGGCTGGCCTTAGGCAGGGGCCATGTGCCAGCTCGAAAACAGAAGAAGTCATTCCAAGTAATGGCACCCAGTGACCCTGGTGTGGAGGTGACTGCCATCTCACCAGGCTGCTTGTCTTATTCTCTACAGGAGCCATAGCCTCACAGGGTCCTTGCCAGCAGTGTGCAGTGTGACAGGAAGACAGGGCTAGATGTGCAGTGGGAGGCTTTGTCAGGTATAGGGAAGAGTAGCTTTGTGTTCTTGTTCTGTCAATTGATTAGATGTTCCCATGGTTCAAACAATAAGAGTCTCAGAAGTAAATTTCCCTGCCTGTGTGAGTTTTTAGAGCAGTAGCAAGAGGTATAAACAAGACCCTTAAGTTAGGGTCCCATCAGCCAGGGTTTCCTTGCTTAGCATCCTGGTGCCTAGTGTCAGCTCAGATGAGTCCTTGGAAGCATTTCTTTCTACCCCACAGTTCTAGACCACAGGAGAGATGCTGTAGGCCTAGAAACCTATGCTAGCCTTTGAGACAAGACTTGAGAATCATAGAAATTTAAGGTTACATTTTTTTGTGTGCTTTAATTCTTCATTAAAATTGAAACCATAAAAGCCTTTAGAGTATATAATTGTGTCATTGCATTAGCAGTCTTTTGTTTTGATGGTTTAAACTCTCTTCATGCCATCATATTGTTAACGACACTTGGCAGTGGTGTTTGTCAGACAGATTTCTTGAACACACAATCTAATTAGTGTCATTAAATCATCAGTGAATTTGAATGGAATTTATAATTGGAACAAGAGTAGTTTTTAAAGTAAAACTTCAGTGTTAATTTAGGGTAAACAATGTCTTTCTAGGGGTTGTAGTTCTTAGAATCACCCTATCCCTGCTGTAAGCCCTGTTCTTCTGCTCATTTCCTTGTAACATTAATTTCTCTCCAGCCCAAGGAAGGGGGGGGGCAGGTGCAGGCTGAATGGAGGGGTAGTGTTATATCATTAGCTAGAAATTGCCCCTATAAAGGTTGTTCAGACCCAGGAACAATGGAAGATCAAGACGGGCCTAGAATAGTTTACCTTGTGGGTTTTCGGTATTTTTTAGTATTTAGAAGTATTTTTTACAGAGAGAGAGAGAGAGAGAGAGAGAGAGAGAGAGAGAGAGAACACGAAACAACATGTTCTTAGTGTTTCTACTTCAAAAGTAGTGTGGGTTTAGCAGGTAGCAGTGTGCCCTGCCACTCTGCTACTCCAGAGACTTCAGGCCCCAGAGATGACCTGAGGTACATGGCTAGCCTTATCCTCCATCAGAACTTGGTACAGAAATTCTCTCCTTTGGGGGAAGATTGCTCATGCACTGACTGCATCCTAAGTGTACATGTATGGGCTGCTCCTTCTAAGCCTGGTATGCCTCATCTGTCCTTCTGTCTAAAGAAATGTTTAATTACTGTGACTGTCATACATGCGCTATGCAGCTGTTGGTTTTTCTGGCATTCATAGTTTCTCCCTTTCCTGGCATTGAGTTTCCTATGTAGATCCAGTCTCTCAACCTTGGGGGCTGATGACCAGTCTAAAATGAGTGACACAGAAACTGACTTTCCAAGACAACTTACTCAGAAAATGCCAGGGTGTGCAGCCTAGGATAGACATAGATGCATCCTGAGAGGCTGGGAGAGAAGCCACTGAAAGATTAGAGAGTATCCACATTGCTGTAGAGCAGAGAAAAGCTTCCACACTGCTTTGATATAAGATGCTTGTGCATAAGAACTTGCTGTGGGGCTGGTACTGCAGCATGTTAGCCAGGTGTCCAAAGCAAGAGGCAGTGACCACTCCTCTTAGAGCCTGAAGGACAAGACCAGGGACACTCCTGATCCATCTGTTCTTACTTCATTGGCCTCTCTATCCTCTCCCACATTTCCTGCATATCTTAGTTTGGGTTACTATTACTGTGATTAAACACCATGAACAAAAACAAGTTGGGGAGGAAAAGGTTTATTTGGCTTATGTTTTCACATCTGTAGTCTATCATTGATAGTGTATCAGAACAGGAACTTAGGACAGAAACCTGAGGGCAAGAGCTGATGCAGAGGTCATGGAGGAGTGCTGCTTACTGGCTTGCTCCCTGTGGCCTGCTCAGCCTGCTTTTTTATAAAATCTAGGACTACCAGCCCAGGGATGGCCTCACCCATATCAATCACTCATTAAGAAAATACACTACAGGCTTGCCTACAGCCCAGTGTTATGGAAGCATTTTCTCAAGTGGGTTCCCTCCTCATAGGTGACTCTAGCCTGTGTAAACTTAGTAGAAAATTAGCTGGCACATTGCACACCCATGACTGCTGGCATAGTCTGCAGTCTCTGTGTGCCTTGTGGCTGTCTGCATTTCTTCTATTATTTTCTGTGTTGTTTTCAGTTGCGTTGCTGATCTTTTAACTATCAGTGTAGGAGTGCTCTTAATGAATAAGGGGCATTATTCCAGCTTCCACTGTTCATTCTCACTTGATACAAAGTAGTTACCCACTTGTCATATTGTGAATCAAATGTTCTTTCTGAAGAGATTTAAAATACCACCTCTGTTCCCTCTCATGTGCATATTTTATGTCTGCGCCTGTATCTAGCTTGCTGTATTCTTATGCTGGCACTGTGCAGTTCCAACGATACCCACATAGACTTGAGACTGACTGCTACATTCTTATGCTGGCACCATGCAGCTCTAACGGTACCCACATTTGGCCTTAGACTACTGCTACATCTTTATGCTGGTACCATACAGCTCCAACGATACCCACAAAGACTTGAGACTGACGGCTATATTTTTATGCTAACACCATGCAGATCCAATGGTACCCACAGACTTCAGTCTGATTGCCCACCTCCCCACACCTTATCCCTCTGCAAAGAATTTCCACAGCTTATGAGACCTGTTTCTTTCCCAGATGAACTTCACAACCATTCTCATGAAGTCTCCACAATTATGCTGGGAAATACTTAATATTGTTAGGTAATGGTTTCCTAGTATTGAATTTGTAC